TTGCGTAAATATGTTCATACGGCCGCTTCACTTCACCTCTGTTTTTGAAAGGATAAAGTTTGATCTTTTTCTTCGTTTTCCCCACCTTCTTGCTGCCTCTCATTTGTAATTTGAAGACCGTGATTATGTATTTTTAAATGAATATGATATTAATTAGATGGTTTTATAAAAATTTGTTTAATATCTACGTAAATTTTAAAATCTATGAGTTTGGAAGTTAAGAATAAAAGTAACATGGGAACAGATAGATAAATGATTTATTGATTGACTATAAGATCCTGTTTGGTACGAAGCATTAAAAATGAGGGATTGAGATTGGGATTACAATTAAAAAAAATCATAAAAATAGTATTTAGCATGAGTAATTTTTTATTATATGGGATTAGGCAAACCCATATGGTGGGATTGGGGAATACCACTTCCTCCCATAGTATTCTTCAATCCCACATATATGGATTTGGCTAATCCTATATAACCAGCAATCTCTCATATTAAACACTCTTTTAATAAATTTTCTGATTTGTAATCCCAATCTCAATCCCTCATTTTTCATGTTTCCTACCAAACCCAACCTAAATGAAATGAGTAGTCCTCAATTGAGATAATGAGGGGTAGCATAAAGCATGAAAAATAAATTACGCTTACTACAAATTTTATATCACTCCCTCCCATTCTTTTATTATAAGCATCTCAAGAACTTATATATTACTACCTCTAGTCCTTGATATAATACCTTGTTTGCTTTTTATTTTGGTCCTGGATATAAGACCTCAATCCACTTTGTCTCTCATATTTATATATTTTTTTCGAAGATAGTCCCTCTAATAATGATAGTTCTAACTAATAAACTTGATTAGTAAAGATATTTTGGAAAGAAAACACCTATTTATAACAAATAACTAACTTAACTTATTTTCTTAATTTCCTCAAATTAGTCAACTAGCTCTTATAATTAGGACTGGAGGTAGTATATATACAAATTTAGACAATTTTAGGTTGAAGATCATCTTAAGCTTACATTTGTTTGTGTGTGGGATATAAAATTTCGGTGTATTAATGGAACAGTATCAGGTTGTAGAGAGAGAGGGAGTTCAATTTGCATGGAAGATGAAGGGAGAGATAGGGTACGTGGGCAGAGGATATGCATGCAGCTGTTTTGTATTACTTCAACGTTGGAAACGTAGCATTATCCTCACACCGCCACCTTGCTAGCTCCGAGCCACCACTCACACAAAAGTGAGACCTTGATTTTTCCACACACAGTCTCTCTCTATAATATATATATATATATAATATATATATAATGAAGCTCGAGTATGAGTAGATTAGACGACGAATGAAATGAAAAGGAAGTTCACGCACCTAGACCTACTTAATGGCCACAAATATAGATTATGTTGCGTATGTAATGTGTGTGGGTGTGTGTATACGTATGTATGACCTCATGCATAATGTATTATATTATTCTTGCTTTTCCAAGCCTTTTCACAATCTAAGCTACCGGAGGCGGGACATGGTTTTGTCTTGTGACATCACATGGTGTTAATAATATATATCATAATCCCCACCCACACACACACACATATATATATGTATATGTAGAACAATTGTATATGATACTAATATATATCATAATCCCCACAACACACATATATATATGTAGAACAATTGTATATGATACTCCTCCGGTCTTCAATATAGGACCCAATGGTTAAGTTAGTTTTGGTCCTAAATATAAGACCCATTTCTCGTGTTTATTAATTTTCTCTAAATTATTCCTATGGATACTCCTTCAACCATACTCAAGTAGAAGAGGAAGATGAGGTATTAAGAAAGATGATTATGGTATTTCAGGAAAAATGTGTCACATTTCTTATAATTAATTAACTTACCTAACTTCCTTAATTTAATCAAATTAGTTAAATGAGTCTTATATTAAAGACCGGAGGAGTATAATAACAAAATGGAGATATGGAACACTACTCTTAGCTCTAGCAAGTACACCACGAAAGTATGAATATAAAGGTGTGATATATAAATGTAATGTAAGGTATGTGACGGAGGAAATGACGACGGAATATGAAAAGGATCGATTTGCCTCCTCTTTCAGTCTCCATATATACATACATACATCTATATATATAAATATATATATATAAGGGCGCCACCAGGAATGTGGCATTCTAGGGGCTCCATAAATGACCTCTCGGTTCCTACTTCATTCTCAACCATCCATTATTCCCCACTACTGTTATTGCATGTGTCACCCAAAAATGTGTGGTGTGTCGTCGTCTTGTATATCCTGCTTCAATGTGAGGAATACTAAGTTTATTAAAAAGGTTTCATTTCAAACTACAAACCCTCACGTTAATTACCGGCCATGTTCATGTTCGTCAGCATCTTCTATATACATATATATAAATATATTAAACATGGATGAAGTTAAAAAGTTCATAAATTTAAGATAACGTCGATAAAATTTAAGATTTTTTACCATGTTAGAAGCTAAGTGACTTATAAATAACATTAAAAGAGTAACATATAAAATCTATACGAAATTGTCCTTCTCATAACTCTGAATACTGTGGCTTAATCATATCAAATTACACGGGGAACATGGATGTACATAATCTAGTTATATCCAAAATCATTGAAAGCTAAAAACAAAAGAATATTAGATCCCAACAGGTTATGTGATGGTTATATTATTTTATAAATTTAGTTGTGAACTGATACCATCGACTAGCTTTTGTTGGAACTGTTAATCCACGTTTACGAACTTGTTAATTGAGGATAGAGATAATGATGTAATTTCTTATTCACAACATATTATTCTCTGGTCCCATGGACATTCTAATTCATTTTGAGATTTCCAGAAGCCTCAGATTAATAAATTATATTGCTTGGAACTTGTATGTAATTCTTGGAAAAAAAAAACAATTGACTTAATTATATTTAGAGAAAAATATAAAGAGAATTATAATGAGGTCCCCAAAAAAAATTGCTGAAAAGTCTTAATAACAATCTAAGCGGTCGGCATCGATAAGTTTCAGAATAAGAAATAACAACTTCTGAAACTTATTTTTATAATCATTTTTCAAAGAACTTTATTATAACTCTCTCAAAAATATATTAACGCTATATTTTAACTAAATTATAAAAATTTACATTTATTTTGAAGACATACAAAAACGTCCATTATTTTAAAAATTAAATTCTATGTTGCATAATTTTTTCTATATATTTGAGATTTCATTTTTATCCAGCCAACCGTTAGTTAATTGTTAAGGTTAACTCTTAAATTTTGAGATCATAGATCATTATTAATTACAAACTTAAAAAAAAAGTAATTATAGTATGCACAGTATTCGATTCGACTTCCCAAGAGCCCCCGTCTTGCACTCATTTCAACCGCCTTCCGACGCGGTTCCTACAATTTTACCCGACCTGTTTCCACCTCATCTTTTCTCTTTCTTTCATATTCTCCCTTTACTTTAGCTGTCTTTATCCATCTATTCAATTTGGTGTTTCAGACGTTAGTCCCACACTGGCTGCCTTAAAGCCTCCTTCAAATTTTATATCTGATGATGATGGCTATAGTGCTTTTTTGAAAAAATAATAAGAAGAAAAGAGCCCAGTCTTACAACCAAACTTTTTTCAATATGTAAAAATGAGATGAAAAAAGAGGTGAATTATTATAAAAATAAGACGTAAATAGGATTACCTTGACTCTTTACCGTGTCTCTGATAAGAATGTACTCCTTTGGTCTTAAATATAAGGCCCCTTTTGTAGTGTAATTTACGTTACAAAAGGGGTACTATATTTACGATCGGAGGAGTACTATATACCTTTAACTTAACTGCATGACATTATTACAAAAATAGTTGCATGATTCTCTTACCAATTAATCAAATAGTAAGTTGATACTTGATACTAACTAATAATGAAAGGACCTTCTACCTTACATGGATGATGGATCGAGCTCTTGGCTTTCAAGTCACTAGTTTCTTCACCAATCACGTCTTTCGGTTCATTTCGGTGATAACTGATAAGTACCAGCAATAAGGCAAATATTACTACATTATAATTTGTTTTAAAAGAATTATTCTCTCCATTTCTATTTATATGACATTTTTCAAAGCGATTTTATATTTCATGAGATAAAATATTTTTAAAAAAAACTTATTGATAACCTTATAATTACAAAAATGCTCTTCACGTGTGAGTTAATTAGAAGTTAGTGTTAAATCAAGAGTATTTTTAAAAACTTCCACTTCTTTTTTTTTTTCAAAAAGAAATTGAGGTTTTTAACTATATTTAACGAGATTTACTGGCCTACTTCACAATTTACTCAAAAATCTACCCATGTTTTCACTTTCTTTGAACTTACCGGAGATGATAAGAGTTTGTCATGCTCCTCCGCCTGTCCTCATTAATTAAAACAGTTAAATCAGTAACCTTGTCAAAATAAATAAATAATTGAAAATAGAACATAATGATTTGTTTTCCAAATTTCTATTACATTCTTCTTTTTTTTTAAGTTAACACTTTAAACAGGGATAATATATGTTAGAAAAAATTAATCAATACTCTCTTCCCCGACATATGATAACAAAAATCATCAATGCTTTAATTGGTATTTTATAATAAGAATTGAAGAGAGAATTTTGGATTTTTGCTTTTGGTCTAAATCTTCTATCCATGCCCACAACAATATCATTGATCTTTTTCTTTTCGAACTTTGGTAGGTAGGTGATCAACGGAATTGTTATTAATACAGCCTCCGGTCCTAATTATAAGAGCTAGTTGACTAATTTGAAAAAGTTAAGAAAATAGTTAAGTTAGTTATTTGTAATAAATACGTATTGTCTTTCCTAAAATATACTTACTAATCAAGTGTGTTGGCTAAAACTATAATTATTAGAAGAACTATCTTGAAAAAAATTGAGTAAATATGATAAACAAAATAGATTGGGATCTTATATTTAGAACCAACATAAAAGTCAAACGGGATCTTATATTAAAGAGCGGAGGAGGTAGTAATAAATGTAATCAAAACTTATGACTGGCTCTACCAAAATTCAGACCGAGAAATGAATCACTTATAAACAAAAGGCATCACTATATACATTGTCATAAATACTGTGATTTATATGACTGTTACTAACTGTGCCATTTTGTCTTGTCCTACGCCTGCTTTGCCAAATCCTTAGCGTCCACGAACGTCCCATGAAAACCGTACGGCACTCTTGACGGAAGCTTCACGGTGGCTTCCACCTTCATTTCCTTGGCGTTAACGATCTGCAGCTCCGACTTCCATGTCTTCTCGTCGTGAACAAAACTCAGAACGTACCCCTCGTCTTCTTCTCCCTCCTTACTCTCTCCCGGCAAGAAAAATGGCTCTCCTCCGTATCTTTCTTCGCCATACATGTATTTTGTCACCTCTCCTGTCATCAAATCCACCTTCGCGAATCCACTCACCTTCGGCCATGGCTCTGCGATCGAGAGATAAGCGAACCGGGTTTTCCTCCCCAGTCGGTTTCGGTTCACCGTTCCTGCTTCCAAGTTCATTTGCTCTGAGATAATGGGGCGGCGTGTTGACTCACCGGTGATGAGGTTCAGTCTGATTTCCGACAGCACGCTCTCCAACTTCTCTTCGCTTTCGTTGAAAATGGAATCCGGCGGTGACATGCAAGAGCCGATGACGACGATTTCGTTCGCCTCTTCCTCCCAAGCGTTCCAGAGATGAAAGCAGAACGTGTTTGGGCATTCAATCCAGATGATATCTGATGCGTTTCCCGCATTCTTCGAGAGAATTCCGAACCTTGATTTCTTTGACTTGTCGTAGATCACCGGAGATCCTCCCGTGATCATTTCTTGGAGCTTGAACACTACTTGCTGGTCCGGAATCACCACGAAGTTCTCTGTAATTGCGAAATCGTGCGTCATTGTAGGAACTGGTAAAGGAATTCCCACGTCTCGTGATTTCTCTCCGTCCGGTGAGAACCGCAAGTATCTCAGATACGGCTTCGAGACAACGTCGTAGCTCAGGGAGAATAACTCGCCGGACTCTGGGTCGACTTTCGGGTGAGCAATCATGTTCGATTTGAGCTGCTCCTGGAAACTGTATCTCCCCACGGTTTCGAGGTCACCGGAAGGAGTAATATGGACGTGGTAAGGATGGTCGTCTTCTGACATTGCGAGGAGGCGGCCATTGAAGTAGACTAAGCCAGCGTTGGCGACGCCGACGCCGTGGTGGTGGTCGAGAAGGCCGAAGAGTCCGCGAGCGTAGAAGAGGAGGAGTCGGGCTACACCCAAGTGCCCATGGAGCTCACCGATGGCCTTGGGGAACACTGGCCGACCGAGCTTCCGTTCCTGGACGAGTCTCTCCGTCTCAGTAAATCGGCAGGCATAGCTAGCAGAGCCGCCGCGTAAACTAACAGCATGGATCATGCCGTCACCGTCGAACAAGTGGTGCCCAGAGACGGGCTCGAATAATGGGTTAGCACCGTTTCGGACATAAACGCCATTAATGGAGTCGGGAATAGTGCCAGTGACGGGGAGGGAATGGCATACGGACTGTTCCGGCACCGGAGCGAAGTTCCCGGAGATCTGAACTCGTGGGTCGGCTGTTTTTGGAAGTGGGTGTTGGAGTTCACGCGAGATTAACGCTCTCTCGGCCGCATCTAATGCCATTGATGCTACTTTTTGCATTGGGTTCCAGGAAGGTGGAGAAGCGGTAGTTTCGGGTTTGGTAGTAATTCGAGGCTGAGAAAGGGGGCTTTTTGGGAAATCAAGCAGTGGAGGAGATTGTAAAGCAGAGTGAACAACATGATTTAGTGTTCTGAGAATGGGCTTCTTGAAGAAGAAGGACTCAGAATTAGGAAAATGATGAGCAGAGGCCAAATGATGAAGAGAGGGGGGAATTGTTGAGGGAGGTACCATGATTGAGAAATCTGAGGTTTTGATATTTTGAGAGTGGAAGTGGTGTACTATAGGAGACCCAAGTAGCAGTGGTATGATTTGTCAAGATGACAAAGCCAAGAAAAGAGAAGGATAGGAAAATGTTTTGGTCTGGGAAAAGAAGAGGTGCAATGAGGTATATATAGAAATAGAACGGAGAATGGTGACAAGAGACTATAGAAGGCCCAAAATATTTAATGTCGTAGAAATACGTAAAAATAATTTGAAAATACGTTACCAACTGGGCTGGGTTAGAAGGAGTATGATGAATTAAGATTTAAATTTCTGTTAGAAGAAATATCTATATTTAATATCTAATAGTGTTTCGAATGGAATTGCCTCTCAATTGGAAGATAGCTATATGTAGCACAAAAAAAAGGAAATATGTCCTAGTAAGTTTGAATTTCACTACTAAAGTTAGAATCATATTAGTGGGTAATCTGTAAATAACTCTGTCAGCACTCAGTTTGTTACTAAAGATACAGAAGTCAGATTAATTAATTAGTAGATATTAAGAAATTTTTTAACTCAGTTATTTATAAAAAGTGTGCATAACTTTTCCAAAAATGTCGCCTTTAATTTTTTTTTTTGTATTGAAAACTATTTTTTAATAAAAGTTTGGAAAAATAACAAAAAAAGAAGCTGAAAATTACTAAATCCCAAATTAGGTTTGGTAGCAATACTTTATTTAGTATTAACAATGCTGAATTTACAAATGACAATAAATTTTTGTTAACATTCTTTATTCAGTGTTTACAAATTTCTAACTTATTTTTTTGTCATTTTTTCCTAAAAGTTTCGGAATTTTAGAAAAGAATTATAAATATTGAAGTGAAGTCCCACGTATATCTCTCTACTAATTCTTATATATATATATATATTGGAATAGAGGGAGCGGTGTCTTCCATTTACGCTAAATTCACATGTTTCATAAGTACTAATATTATGGTTGGGCGAGCTCCATTTTGAAGGCGCTCAGTGACTTTAAAGGACGTATCGCATATAATTCAAAAAATTAAAAATTATGAAAAATAATAGATTAACCCACAACAAAAGTTTTAAATGCATGACTTAATTCACGCTGCTCTTCTGAGCTATATACTCCTCAGTCCATTAATAAGATATAATTTTTAGGATAGACACTGCCATATTTATAAGATATGCATTTGAAGGATATATATATATATATACATATATATATATTTATATCTATTTTTGTATCTCTATGCCTCATTAATTAATTAGGTGTCATATCATTCTATCAAATTACTTACCCTTTTCCCCCCTATTTATTCATTCTCGCTTACTCACTCTATTTTTACATAAACTATAAATAAGAAATAAGGATATTTTTAGAAAATAAAAAATAGTTTCATGGAAATGGCCACCTTTCTGTTCTTCCTTCTCTCTTTTATGATTATGATTAACTTAATTATTAAAGGCCTTCTGGATATCTTCCAACATCTATCGGCTTCCGAATATTCAGATCATCACCTATGTAATGTGCATGCCACAAAAAAATTGAATCCTTTGTTTTTTTTTTAAATAATGCTAAATGTTACAAAAATATTCTTTTTGTTACGTAATCACGCACCGCATAATTTTGGTTGTGATGTCATTAAAATGCATTCAATTTTATGTGTTACAACGAGTACGGTGGTGAGCGGCAATTATTTTTATAAAATATGTCATATTTTTACATATTTATTGCATTTTTAATTTACTTGCAGTGACAAAGACAATGAATCCGAGGGAGTATGTATATCATTATAAGGAGTTTAACTTAATTGTTTTAAAGCATAAGACGACGTTATTTCATTCAAAAAATCCTGTAAAATTGCATTGTTCATATTTGCAAATTGTATTGTTATCACTGTTAGTTTTAATGATACTGATTTCTATAAAAGATATGTGGATCCTTGTTTATTGTACAATAACTTCATAGTTTATGACTTTCGATATTCCCTACACACACACACACATCATGTTGTTTTACTGAGAAATGAAATTACTGCACAAAAAGAACCCTGAACAATGAAGAAAAATAAACATGTGCATATATATGTCTGAATTTGAAATCGTGTTACCCATGAATCTATCAAATTACAGAGAACTTGAGGAATGAACTACTAGGTAATCCTTAATATAAGATGTGATTTGTTCAAATTATATGTTATATTAAAAACTGGAGGTATCTGTAAAAATAGAATTTGTATATAATGTAATTTAATTTACTGTAATTGTTTTGTTATATTATTATGAGCATTGATATATATATATTGATGATATGAATGATTTATTGTTGGGACCTTTTACTATATATTCATCATGTATTACTTAAAGAATATTAAGAAATATACAAAAAAAAAAAGGTAGCTATAGAGTGTGGTCACACACACATTTAATCTTCGCCTGTAATTATTTCTGTACATGTTTTTAATTTTGGAATATATAATCCATGACAGTGAAGGAGAGAAGGGGACAAAGAAAGGTATTGATGAATTGAATGGGGAGTTAAACAACACTATCAGTGGCCAACCGACAAAGCAGCATATGTGACAGCGATCGATGCTTGTTTGGTATTTTAGTGCCACACTAAGTAATAGTAATACTTTTATAAGCCCTGTTCATTTTTTAATAAAATTAGTTAAACGTTAGTTATATGTCACAATTATTTATATAAAATAATAAAAATCTCATTGAATATTGAGCGTGGCCGGTTTTGTATTGAGGACGAATAGGCAGGATGTTATATATAAATAGAACTGGATTAAGTACTAATTAGATGATGAATATGAATCTATCTAATTGTTCCCATTTGAATGGGAAGATTAATATATATATATATATATATATAACTGATTCTTTGAAGGAATTATTATCAAACACATGAATCCAACTTAGTCATCATCTGTTTTTATTATGTATTGCATAAAAAAATTGCATATATCTTTGGGATGTGGAAAAGAATATAATATCAACATCAATTCAAAGGCGACAGTGAATTATTTGCCCACTTAGAAAGTGAGCGACTTTGAGGATAAATATGGTGATGGTGATTTCTGGCTTCCCGCATATATACTTTCTGAGAGACCATTGTAAGGAAGGTGGAATACTTGGCTAGTTTTCATTACATACAAATGATTACAAGGATTAGTAAATTAAAAAAACCAACATATTTTTTAAGAATAACTAATTTAACTAATTTTATTAATATCTATAAACTAATTATCTAGCTTTTACATTTAAAATTAGAAGGAGTATATAATTTATTACTTTGAGTCCTTAATATAAGAGCTCGTTGACTAATTTGAATAAATTAAAAAATTAGTTTAATTAGTTATTTGTAATAAATATGTATTTTTCTTTAAAATACTATTGTTAATCATGTGTATTAATTAGAAGGTTAAAGTATACTTTTATTCCTTTGAATTTAGACAATATTTCATTTTGGTCTCTTAACTGTAAAAAGTATGTTTTTAGTTCTCTAACCCTATAACCGTCAGCAAAAAATAATGATATTAAGATCTTGAATTGTTAATAAAATATGTTTAAGTGCTAACATATTAAGTTTAATTTTCATAAGAACCATGATTGTTACAAAACATCATCATTTAATACTAGCAATTTTAGTACTAAACTACTAAAGGACTAAAAATATACTCATTTTTAAAGTTAAGGGACTAAATTGAAAATTTGTCTAAAGATAAAAAACTAAATTGAATGTCAAACTAGTCTTAAGGGTCAAGGGTGCCAACCTTAATGGTTCCTGTTATGCTTCGATCCGGACTAGTCTGAGCCTGTTATTGTGCCTGAAAGTTGGCTCAGGATACCAGCTAGATGCTTATGTGAAAAAAAAAAAAAGAACTAAATATATACTTGAACCTAGTTAGAACTACTATTTGATGTACCATTTAACATGTGGGATTTTATATTTATAACCAAATTAGATGTCAAACTATTTCCTATAGTAAGAATTGGAGAGTATATAACTAACTTGTTCGATTTGGAGCACGAAATAATGTCCTCATCGTTTAAATGAAAACCAAAAGCATCAAAAGTTATGATCCATGGGTCCGGTAGGTGGCCATAGAAAAGGAACAAGTAGCGAATATATTATTTACCACAATTACAAAATAATATATGTGTGCGTGTGTATCAGATATTTGAAGGAAATATATGTGGTGTGTATCTGTTGTAAAGTAAGAGAGAAATAAAAAACGAAAAAAATGATATAATTGTACAAATGAACGAAAACTCTCAGTCCGTTTGAATCATTCTCATAGCGGATGCATTAATAGACTGATGTCAAATTCTTAGGTTAATAGACGGTGATTATTTTTACTATGAAGTTTAAAATAATGAAATTTAAATAGTTCGTTTTTTCATTGAAAAAGAAGGTATATCATGAGGAGGAGTTGTCCTGCTAGCTTTTAGCTTTTAATTTTGGAGGGAGGACGTGGTCGGGTGGGTCATGCCCCATTGACGGCATAAATTGGCAGACAAACCAAAACTATGTGCCCTAAAACCGCCTTTCTTTTGACCCTATTCATATTTGGTTGTGACATAAATAAGCCCTTTCTAATCGAAATCAATATCAAAGATTTTTTTTTATTTTTTAAACATCTTGTGTTCTTCTCGAATGTTCTAGCCAAGTAGGTGTAACATCAAAGAATCCAAAAATACTCATATATATATATATATATATAAATTCGTGGGCACACGTCGATATACAACCGACTTAATCAACTGGCTAGCAGGTGCTTATCACAAATTCTGGATTATTTTCCGAGTCCCATATGAATTATCTTTTATGTAGGTTGGCAAATAAGACGGAAAGAATCTAAAAGCAGGTCTATGCATTTTTTTAGGGTACCTTTTCAATTTTAATGGACATGTTTCCTCAGGAAATACGTCTACGCATATTATTCTACTCATTTAAATAATGATTCTGTCCCATATGAATAATTAATGTTGGAGTCTCTTCTATATATGTTAACAATACATAAGATTCAAAATATATTGTTGACTTGTAGATTCCATTTGCTATTTTCTTTATGTTGTGTTGAA